GAGAATTAAAATTGCTCCTATTTGGCACAATACATATTATGAACATTTATCTCATCTCATTTTACCATAACCTCATTGTAGTGGGAAGAATGTTTTTTCACATAAGAATCTCCATTACATAAGCATAGTTAATAGATTAGTATTTACTATTTTAAATTTTGAATATTTGATTTGATAATAGTTTAGAAATTTAATTTTGATTACATCTCAACAATTGAAATTAGTGACAGTGATTTCAATTGACTTTCTGTGAATTTCCTAGCAAATTTTTCATTTCCAATTTAAACCTTCCCTATAGAATCGATACGACTTAAATAGAAAGTCCATTATTACTTGATAAGGATACGTATACTTGCATAGAATCTGAATATTAATTGATTATATTTAATTAAATTTTACACAATCTATCGCAACAAAAAAGTCGGATCAAGTAACAGTGAGGGCATTTGTTTTATGAGGTAAACAACAATTTGAACTACTGTTATCCATAATTTCGTGGGAAGAGAAGTAGTGTTAAGAGATGTTCCAACCATTTATTTTATGTGTGGATTTTTACTCTTTGTTGCACCATTTTGTTCAGGTGTATAAGGGCAACTAATTTGATGTTGTGTACCATTGTTGTGCAAATATTGTTGCAGTAGTGTCGATCGATAATCATTACCACTATTTTTTCTTAAGAATTTGATATTGAAATTGTACTTATTAGTGAGCTGTTTGTGTAGGTGAATAAAATAGGTAGTAACTTTAGATTTGGCATATAGTGTAAAGCACCAACAATATCTAGAGTAGGCTTCAATAAAAATAACGTAATAAATACAACCATCAAGAGATGGTAGAGAGAATGGTCCCCAAACATCAGAATGCAGAGTTCTAGTAATGTATACTCAATGCTACTAACAAAAAATGATTGTTTGTGACATTTTTTTTGTAAACATTCATTACACATGGTGTTATTTTATGAAGTCGTTGTTGCTTAGCCATAGTTTGGATCACTTTCATATGTGGGTGACCGAGCTTGTCATGCCATATGGTAGACAAGAAAGTAGCAGTTAGAGCATGCGAGGGATATAAGCCTTTATTGAGGCAACCACTGAGGAGCAACTTCTTTCTTATAAGATCCTGAATGAAAAATCCATTAGCATGAAATGTAATGGAACATTTATTTTCATGAAAATATTTTAAAGAGTAAGTTATGGGAAAGTTGGAGACTCTTAGAATTTGAATAATAGTGAGCTTATGGTCAGGGGTTGGTAAGATCCAATTATCGACATGGGAGATATATGTAGCCTGACCATTACCAACCGTTACATGTTTAGATCCATTGTAGACAGTGGTATGTTGTAGATTATCAAGATAAGGGGCGTGTTGTTGCCCCAGTATCAAGTACCCATTCTTGATTCCTATTGCTGGTGGTGACATTAGAAGCAACTGAAGAGGTTGTAGACTATGACATGTATTGGAGGTTTGTCCTATGCTAACATTGATCAGCTGCGTGACCCATCTTGTGACATATTTGATAATTGGTGTTGGATTTGTATGGTGGATTAGGAGTAGAAGAAGCAGCTTGGTTATACTGTGGTTAGTTCTTTGGAGGGAATTTGAGTTTGAAAGAGGTTTCTTGTTTTTATAGGTGAGTAAGGTTGTGGTGTGAGTGTATTTCTGTGCTTCATTTGCAATGTTAATTTAGTCACTGAAAACCAAGGACTTAAAATCTTCAAGGCTAAAAGTAGTTAATTGATTCAGACAACAACTTGAAGGATTGATAGCTTGGAGGTAAATCGATCATGGTGTAGATAATAATATTCTCATTATCGAACTTAGCTCTAGCAGTGGCTATTTTATCCACAAGGATTTTAATAGATGTGAGATACTGGTTCCTATTTTATGTGTCCATGTGAATATTACGGATCGAGCCTCGTTCATGTTTTAGTTGAATTAGCCTAGAGAAATTAGAGAATTGGAATGATTTTTTCCAAGGTGTTCCAAATGCTAGTGATAGTTCATGTTTTAGTTGAATTAGCCTAGAGAAATTAAAGAATTGGAATGATTTTTTCCAGGGTATTCCAAATGCTAGTGATGTTAGTTAGATGCAGAACATAAGGAAAGATTTAGGTGGTGATGATGGAAAACAAGAGGGCTGCAAGATTTTGGTCAACTAGTTTCCATAAGACAAAATCTGAGGTTTCAATGATTGTTCCTGTGGAATCTTGATGTTCTTGAGGTGGAGGAGAGATGTAAGGATCAAGAAATGATCCAAAGCCATTAGCTAAATGAGTTTCTGTACCTGAACTTTCCAACTAGCATAATTTTTAAAGACGAGGATAGTTGGCCATACTTTTGATGTTTTGCAATTGAAACTTGAGGGGTGGATGTATATGAATACATTTCATCATATGAATGGATTCTAGAGAAGTATTGGCGAGGCAGGGAGAGATGGAGGATGGATAATCCATAAATCTTGATGACATCATGACAGACTTGCTCTGATACAATAAAAGAATGAAGAAGTAGAGGAAGAGATGACATGGAACAAAATCTATCTATTTCATTCACCGTTACCATTAAAAGTCCTTCATTATATAGATCACATACGCGGCAGTTTGTAAATAAATAGAAGGGAAGACTGGACTTGTTGCATAATAGGTGGATAAATATAAACAAAAATGTTACAATAAAAATAACCCTAGCTTATGTTCAAAGGAGAAGTCAGCAATAATAGAGGAGGCGAGGGCTCGAAGGCGGATATAGAGAGGAGAATTCATTAGAAAATTTCCAAACTTCAAAGAAATCAGATAACTCTTCATTTTTACTTGACTTTATGCTTGGTGTTTAATGAAGAGAAAGAGTTTGGAGAAGAGTCGCACAACTTGACTGAAGCATATTTTAGAGAATCTGTAGAAAGAGTTGTTAGGATATATTGCCTTAGTAATATTATTAGGATAAGCGAAACATTAAAAAGAAGAGTACATATTCATCTGAATTGTTATATTGGGAAAAATTTGATAAAAACAAATTAGCTTTTTATGATTTGCTTCTATAATAACTACTGTTACTTTTTATTTTTAATATTACATCCTTGAACTATTATAAATAAAAGAAAATAAAAATTAGGAGGTTACATTGGGTTGTTGTGTTAAATTATTAATTATGTACTTTCTAAGAATGAAGTCTAGAGTGTATGGAAGTATTGATTACTTAACGATTTTATATAGGAGAGAGAGAGGGACGAGATCAAGAGAGGAAAATAAAAACAAGTGTGATATAGAGTTAAGAATTGTGAAAAAAGAGAAATGAAAGAAGAGAAAGAAGAAGAATTCCAACTAAATCAATATTATTTGGAAACTAGACAATAAATCAATATTACGAATCTCAAAAAATCTTTGACAGGGAAATTAAATAAGTACGCCCAAAGATGACCCACCAAAAATCAAAGGTCACATCAACGTGAACCCATGACGCCAAGGCTTCCCTAAGAGAGTGTACAAAACCTGCTAAATAATAGCCTTTTAGGACAAGGAACAACTGATACCCAAATAAGAAAGGAGAACTGCCAAGCTTCTCAAAATGACACTACGAATCATCTCAGGAAGAACCATAAGGCTCTTCGAGGTCACTAGCACCCAATGCAGCACCAATTTTTCACCGCTCTTCGAGGTCACTAGCACCCAATGCAGCACCAACACAAACTCCCATTGCGGGTTCCTTGTTCAAGATTGTGGAGCTACCTGTCAGATTATGATATAAATATTTTCTCCTTGACAACCTAGCCACATCTTGACAACAAAAGTCCCACTCAAAGGGAGTAATGACTAGCAGTCAGACCAGGGGAGCCGACCAACTGAAGGCCCATAGCCTGGCCAACCAGAGGTCCATAAGTCTGACTGACCGAAGGCCCTCAAACAAACCATTCAAAAGCTCTTAGTCTTAAACGATTGAAGGATGTGATAGTCAAGTCAAAGATAATTTTAAAATTTTATTTATCTATTCATTTATTTATTCATGCATTTATTTATGACCAAAATATTCTATGATGTTCTTATTTCAAACAGGGTAAGCAGGTAATTGTATATTTTACACTATCAGGATCTTTAAATAGGAGGTAATTTCTACTAGAAAAGTCTAATAAATTATTTAAACTGATCTTATATATCTCTCTCTCTCTCTCACACACACACGCGCGCACACGCACACGCGCGCGCTCACTCTCTCGCACGCTGTATTTCCTGAGTGTGTTTCACTGAATAATCTTTACTTCAACAATCAATATTGCGTACAACTCAAAATAAATTTAATGATATCGAAATACAACCAAGTAAAATTCAATCAGAACATGATAATCAAAATTTTCCTTTTTTCCGATCCAAATGTTTTTATTGTCTTTTAGCACAAAAGATAAGCCAAAAAAAAGAGTACTGAAAACCCGCAAGTCCGGCTTTGCAGAGTTCGCCGACACTCAATATTAATATATATAAAACAAACCGTTTTAAACTTATTTTCTTCAATAAACAAATTCAAAGTTAAGAGACATTCTAGCACCAGCTAATCCATAAAACTGCCGTTGGTCAACCATACTTTTTTTTTCCAAGATGGTTTCTATATTTCAAATGTATAACCAAGAGCCGGAATTTATGTTATAGAAATAAATCGGGGGGCCCCTTTCACATCCTATTACGACTCATACTCATTATTATTATCATTATTTTGTAAGATTGAATACAGAGAAGCTCTAAAATATTAGTTAAAAAGCTCAACATCGGTCTCAGTCTGAATGAATAGCCTTAATGAACTTGCTCTGAAAGGTATTGAAACAACTGTTTCCTGCAAGCAGCCATTAACCGAGTTAGCGATAGGAAAGTAATTGTTTTTTATTTATCAGCAACCTTATGAATATTTATTAATGGAAAAAGAAACTGGTTAAGTTGACCATGCCTTGGAGGATAACGGGTATAACTTATTTAATCAAGCAGATTTATGCGCTGGGTGAGATTTGATTTATAGGAAGTCAGTGAGGGAAGCTCAGTTGGCCTGCGAACGAAGTAACTCAAGCTAAGCACATATTGTTCGAACTCAGAATTTGTATGATAAAAGTTTGAGCTTTTAGGAATATGTTAATGCTGGAGCTCATTTAAGTTCAATTCAAGCCAGAATCATGAAGGAATGATCGAGCTTATTAACAAACAAACAAGTCATAATAAAGCATTACTCGAGTTTTATACAAACAACTTATTTGAAAGAATAAATGAGTTATATCAAATAAAGCTTGTTAAGCCTAAGATATTTGACCGAGTTAGTTAATATGTAATCATGCCTTAATTGAACTTCTTAACTAGTTTATTCAAAAGTTATGAATGATATTGTTCGTGAACATAAATAAATCATACAATAATTTTTTCAAGCTATTATTCATTTAGCAACCGAGTAGTTATGAAAGAGTTCAAGCTCGTTTAATTAACCAATCAAATAATTATGAATGAGTTCTAATCAAGGCGAGCCACGAATACTTTGTTGGATGTTCTATTCATTTACAACCCCAGAGCTCCATAAATTAATGAGATAAATTTATACTAACAATAAATATTTACTCTAAATATTTTAAAATTTTAGTGATTAAGTACATAATTATTAAATCTAAATGAAAATCATTTATCTTTTATATAGATATATATATTTTTTGCTATTTCTTCTAATTTATCAATTACTATCTCACCGGTTCAAACACATAATATTGAGGAGAAAGTCAATAGCTTAAATCTTAAATTTCAGCTAAGGATAAGTCAAACTCGACTCATGTAGGCTCCTAATAACAGATCATCAATTGCCAAGAGGTTGACAAATTTCAGTGCCAAGTCAGTAATTTAAATATGTGGTAAACATACCGGAAGGTTGTCTTTTGACTAAGAGGCATGAAGAAGTGCAAATGGATCGAGAAAAGCTACGTAATTTAGGAGGAAATCTTATTTTTGTAGCCCGTATTTGTCAATTGGAGGAAAGAGAGGGGAGGCAGAGAAAGAGCGTGTCCCCCCTGTCTCTTATCATATTGGCTTGTTACAAATACATGCCTCTCCTTCCGATAGATCGTAGTCGTTGTCCGGATGTAGCTTGTGTCTGGACTCCAGATGTAATATTTTGAATCGTGCATCAAAAAGTATGACTCACAACAAGATGAATATGAAACAGTTAGACGGCTTGACTCAAAATTAAAATTATTGATTCTAATAATATTTAGAATTGGGTGAAAATCATTCTTAAGTTCTATGGTGAAGGCAAAAGTCAACTTTATTGGGTTTAATTAAACTGCATCGGCTTAAATTTTGAATAAGATGAAATAATATATTTTTTTAATTTTGTAAGGAGTGATCAACCCAAAAGTTTGCCAAGCTGGCATTCATGCTATCTTATGTGATGGGAGAGTTAGGGCCGCAAATTTGTTAGATTGACCCAAACTGTAGTTTGCTTCAACTTGAGCTTGATTGGCAAATTTATGTTGGAGCTCCTGATTGAGCTCAATTCTTTTTGGCAATTATGTTAACTTAAGTGCCGGCTCATAAATTATAATATTGACCAAGGTTGAGTAATTTGGGCCGGACATTGAATAAGAAGAAGAATATGTTCAAGATTCAATGATTTAGTTGAGATTGAATCAAAGTTGAACCAGATGATATAATAAATATTCAGATTATTTTAATAAGATTTATAATATAATAAGAATATATTATTATTTTAATCGATTCAATAAATAATATTTTATTTTAATATAAATCACTTTTGAATATTTTGAAAAATATTAAAAATCAAAATTTCAAGACGTAATAATTTATTCATTTTTTTATTTAAATATCGTATTGCTAGCCATCCAATCAAAATCAAGGGATTTAAATTGGACAATAAATATTCAATCAATTTCTTAAAAATTAGATCGGTTCATCCGTTCACTGGTTCAACCCTTGTTATGATTGATTAAATCCTATTTTTGTGAAAAAATGATTTTGAGCTTGGGCTGAACCCGTCAAATGACTGATTCATTTGATCCATTCATTAAGACCATGATAACGAGACATTTGCTTTTTTTTTTGCATTGCTCAGATTAATTTTGAAATTAGCCTTGCAAAATTAATAGTTGACTTTTCAAAAAATAAGAAAAAAATATTGGGCCATTTACATACATTCCACCTAATTCCTATGTATTTACATTTCTAACACTAAAATGTTGCTTTTTTATTTCTATACCATCCAAATCTTTTATTTAACATAAGAAAATACTGCTATTTTAACTTGTAATAGTCAAATATACTTTTTTTTATACAATGATAAGGTAGTATATATATGTGCTTGGGTAAAAATTAAATATTTAGTTGTTAGATGTGTACATACATAGGAACTCAGTGGTCTATTGGTAAATCCAAGAAATTAAGCCGTTAAAAATCGAAAATTTACGTTCATACCACTAAATTCCTATGCAAATATTACCTAAACTTCAATTTTTTTAAATTAAATTATTAATATTTTTGATGTGACAAGAAAAATTTTAGTGATATAAATAAAAAAAAAAAAGATAGAATTTAAATATTAGATATATAAAAAGACAGAAATTGGGTGGTATTTATGTAAATACCCTTAAAAAATAATCTTATGGTAGAAGAAACCAATCAATATACAAAGTTTGCGCGATTGTCGGCGCAAATTCAATTAATGAAAATTAAAAGAAAGAAATAAATTTCTACGCCTTCGGTTAATTCTACAGTTATGAGTTATGACTATTTTCCATCCCATGACATGAGAGAGAACCGTCATGGCATGCGACAATAGTCAGCAAGATGAGCTAACGAAGCAAAGCCGCCTCGGCCCGGTCCGGCCCGGCCTCA